AAGAGCGGTCACAGACGCTCTAAGAAGAAGTCAACTCACGCCAAGAGGTCGTTCGTGGGTCAACGTGATAGAAGCTTCCCAGAGTTAAAGAGCCATGAGTCAACCTTGTACCTTTCTATAGCATGAAGAGTTGAAGTGTAAGTTCGAGGCGTTCAGTTTGGAAGTAGCCCTACCTTCGAAGAAACCAAGATTGGGCAAGTTCGAAGCAATGAACTTGGAAGTAATAAAGATCAAGATGGTCGTACAGGAAAAGCTTGGACCTCCAAGGAACATGGAAGGGAAGAACATCGTTGTTGACGAGTCACCTGACCCTGTGAGACGTGAAGAGGGTGAGTACGTTCACCCTAGTCGGCACACCAGGGAACGTTATGGTTAACATGAAGACTTTTGGTAAAGAGGTTTGACAACAAGAATAAAAGAAGACGTGGCTGAGTTGCAATCAATCGTTGGGGCCGTCAAACGACTCAAACCTACAAGAGCGAATCAAAAGACGGATTTGATCACCGAGTGTTCCTAAGTTGCAAGTGAGACTCTGTGCCGATGATTACTGGTAAGAGACCTACCTAAAACCAGGAAGGGACGAGAAATAGCTAATCTTGTATTGGAAGATTGAACAGTAAAAAGAAGAACAGTTAGGAATGAACTTAAGGACCAGTTCTAATGTTGGACTTTCATAAGTAAGACAAGTTCATGCGGAAACAAAGTTTTCAGAGAAGACTTATCGTCAATCAAGACAAGAAAAGACAAAGTTGGTTTATAGCCGATTACCTGATGAAGATTGCAGGGTTATCAACGGTGAACAAGACTCAACCTACTAAGCTTCTAGTAAGGACAGGATCAAATCTTTGGGCAAGGAATCATGTAAGGCCTCCAGATGTTGACTTAGGTAAATACTTCAGATTACAAAAAAAAGTTCTACTGGTTGCAGTTGAGCTCTACGATCCAACCAGCTTTAGATGGTTAACGGGGAAGAATCATATAGATCAAGAAGGCAAGTTGGGAACTTGCGCTATGGATTTACGAAGACCGTGGATTGTGCTCTAATGATGGATCAAGTTTCCTTTTAAGTGATGGTTATTGTCAAGCATTCAAAGGACTCCTTACAAGATTTTGAGAGATTTAGAGTGCCAACGGTCACGATGCTAAGGGAGATATAATGAATACACGGGTGCTTAGACCTCGATGATCTTCAAGTACAATAAGGAAGGAAGCTGGGTTTGTAAATCACCGAAGTCTTGGGGTGGCAAGAACAGACAACCGGGGGCGCATAAAGAAAGAGGAAAGCGGTGGTCAGTGTTTTGACCGATCATGAGTTAGCAGGAATGGACAACAAGCCGAATCTCTAAGAATATCAAGGAAGTTTGCTAAAAGTTTCGTTACCGACGCAATAGTGAAGACCAGTAAGGGAAACAAGTCAACTCACAGTTGCCTGGTCCGTGTGAGATCTTGAGAAGAGTTGGGGAAAGGTAACCTAAAGCTTAGTTTGGCCACCTAGTTGGACAAAGACTAGGAGAACCCTGGAGGAGCATGTTTGTGATGCACCGCGTGAGTTTCGCTCGGATGTAGTAAAGTTGAGGAAGGAACCAGAGTTTGAAGAAGGGTTTGGGGTGAAGATATTTGTGATCTCAGTTTATGAAGACGGTTTGATGAAGATCTTAGCGTTAGAACGCGTCAGAATCAAGGTTAGGAACCTGCAGTTCGTCAAAAGTGCAGTGACCGAAGCGTCAACCGAAGAAGTCGTCTGAAGTCGAGAACCCTTTTACCTCTTCAAGCCGATCTTCCTATCTTTCCCTCGTAAAATCTTTTGCTTTTTCTCAAGAAATCTGTAACACCCCAGATTTTCAAGACTTTTAAAACTTATATAATAAAGATAGAATCTCATTAAATCCCAAAATACGATACAAAGAGTACAGGGTGCTATGCCACGCCCGAGCTAGAGAACTCGGGTGCATAGGCTAAATTCTAAAACCTCAATCAGTATCAATACTAAATCATGGCACGCAGGCCGAAAGGGAAAACTATCTAAGCTACGCCCCAAGCTTCTAGCGCGCTCCAGTGATCTACTCGTCTGTGCCTGAAAGCCAAATATATCTGTTCAGCGAGAGATGCTGGTAACCCACTCCAACGCGTTGAAATACAATACATATAGACATATATATAGATATACGAAAACCATTTTGAAGCATGAAGATATATCCTACGAGACTCTAGCTTTTAAAACAGGGATAGACTCAACAGATAGAGCTAAGCACAGACAGCAGTTATACCAAGCATATACAACTTACAACAGGCAAGACAGGTAAGATAAGCACAATTAATAATCATAACCCAACATATACGATTCTCAGCATAGAGCCCATAGTCACATCCCCAAGACACTCATAACAACAACTCATCCATATTTCATCACATAGCACACTTTGTTGGCGCCACAGGACCAATCGCATGCCCATACATGAGGGTCAGCGCATATGGCTCTGACACGGCCCTGCAGCACCCTGCCCCGTATCGCAACACGGAGGGGTCGATCGCAACCGACCGATGAACCGCAGCTCATCATAGTTTGATCGCAACCAAACAGTGGACCGCAGCCCAAGAGTATGTCATCTGACCGCAGCCAGGAAATATGAACCGCAGCTCATGTAGAAACGTTTGATCGCAACCAAACGGTGGACCGCAGCCCAAGAGTGTAAATCTGACCGCAGCCAGCTTCTGAACCGCAGCTCAGGAATAACCAATCCGATTGCAACCGAATTGGGGTATCATGCACACATAACACATAGCAAGCACATGCAACCCACATTAACACATTGGGAAGGGGGAGAAAACGTATAACAAAACCTATGCGTGAACCTTCACATACTAAGAATAATCCTAAGGGGTTCATACTTCTTTCACCTAGGACAACGGGATACCAATTCAACTAGCATGCAATATATAAGACTCATACAACCTACGAACGGTACCCGAAATATCAAACTAGACATAGGCACGATAGACGGAGTCCGTTGGGACACCACGGGGATCGGGGGAACATCAAATGGGGAAGCCAAAATCCCAAGTTGGGTACAAACCAGCGGGTAGCCGGTGGGTGAGGGGTCACCCGCCGGCGGCACGGTTCCGGGCAGCGGGTGCCCGGCGGGCAGCTGCCGGCGAGGCCTCTTTTGGCCGTGGGTAGGTGGCGGGTCCCCTACCCCCACCTACCCCCCACTAACTCTTTTTCACCAAAAACACCCCGGGAACCTTTGTGGAACCCGAAACCATGCTTAGACACTTTCAAACGCAATTGATAACACACGTAGACAATTAACGGATCAAAATCAAGAAACATACGGCACATAACCTATCGTGCTTTTCTAAACATAATCAACACCCAATCATGCGAATTCCCACCCAATATACCAAGAATAATACCATACGAATTTCCACGATATAACCTAGGGTTCTAATTATTTTTAATTCAACAAGAACACAATTCATCTTCCAAAATCAAGATTCGGTAGGAATATCATATAAATATCAAGAATATCCTACAATTATCAAGAACATCATATAATCATCAAGAACGTCATATAATCATCAAGAACACCATAATTATCAAGAACCTCTCATCATCAAGATCACCCATGGAATCATCAATAATAATATCACAAATCATCAATACACAATAATATGGGGAAATCCTAAGAGGGGAATCATAGCTATGAAAATAGGTTTTGTTGAGACATGGGTTACCTTTTAGACTTAATTAATTCCTTGGCTATGAAGGGTCTTTCTTGAAGCTTTCTTCTTTCTTGATTTCTCCTAGGGGAATTCTTGGAACTTCTTGCGTGGTGAGGGATTATTGTGGTGGGGGTTCTAGGTGCCTCCTTATGTTCCCTATTTATATATCTAAGAGTCTTACTTAGGGCCTAATTACTATAGGTTTGCTAACTCTATTCCTTTTAGGAATAAGGATTGGGTTTAGGGATAAGGGCCCATGGACTATGGTGGGCCTTTCCTAATTAATTATTGTGATTTAAATCTTTTTTTTTGGGTAATTGGTTAAATGATTAATTGGTTTTAGGGATCGTAACACGGGGTGTTACAAAATCCTTCATATCTTTTCGAACCTCGTTCTTGTTTCCTTCTTGTTTTGATTCTGTACAGGGTGACAACCTCGTTTTCCTAAGTGGTAACCTTGAAAATCTTGATTTCCTTTCTAATCTACGCGATCCTTAAGCCTAAACCTAATACCTTTCCGTTAGGAAATTCCTTCAAACCTTTCAAACCACGTCTCGATCCCTCACTTCAAACGATTTTGTGCGAGGTGGCAACCTTATTTCCAATGATGCAACCTTGAAAACTTTGATTTCCTTTCCAACCATCATGCCCTTGAGTTTAAAACTTAAACCTTCATCCTTTCTAACCTTTCCAATCGAATCTTTCCAAAACTTAGTATATATATTTTTCTGTATATATTATCGTATTTTTGTGACACTCTTATCCCCAAAATGATTTTCCAGCTTCCGGGATGGAGCTTCTTTTAAGGGGGTGAGGATGTGACATCCCGTATATTCCTAAAATAAAATATTGTCCCGATATTAAATATTTTGTTAGAAATATTTATATAAACCTATTTATTTTAAATGGGCTTTGGTCTAATTATTTTATAGATTATTATGTATCTTGCTACCTAAAATCACTAAGCCCAAAATATATAAATGTATAAATATTTTGTATGATTCTTGATCCAAAAGAGTTGCCCAACCCAAAGTGTGGTCTTGAACCTTAACCCAACCCAAGCCTATCTAGTATTACAAGCCCATATGTTGTATGAATATATATGAATTATGTTGTGAGCCCATGTATACTAAGCCCAATATATATAATCCATCTGCCTAAATGTTTAAATATAAAGCCTAAACCCAACACAACCCAAATTAGGATCTACCCTACTATGTATATTATGTATGTACATATCGGATGTGGATCAGCTAGCTTCCTACACTCTACTCATGTGAAGAATTCCAGCCGCAACCTTCCTTCTCCTCAGCCAAACAACTCCCATTCTTCCATCTAAAGAAACTAGCAGCCCTCATTCCCGTTTTCTTCATCCTCCCTCACCTCTCGTCGACGGCTTCGGCAACAAGGAAGCCGACGTCTTCTTCTTCCCTCAGCAGTAGCGGTGAGCAGCGACGTCAAGCAGAAGCAACCACCGGCAGCCTTCAACCTTCCCCCCCCCCCCCCCCCCCTCCTCTTTCCGACTTCTGTTTGGAGAAGCGGTGCAGCAAAAGGCAGCTTGACGAGGCAAACAGTGGCGGAAAGCAGCAACTGGGCAACGGTGACGCAGTTCGGCGGTGTGGTCGACGGCGACGCAGCCCAGCGGTGGCGTTTCCCCTCTTGTTCCGGCGAAGAAAGCTTCTCCGGCATGGGCAGAGCATCAATGGCGTCTAGTCTAGACAGCTCCGGCAGCTTGAGGAACGTTGGTGGCGGATGGCGTCTCTCCGGTAGTGGAGGTCGGCATCTCTCCGGTAGTGGCGCTTCTCCTCCGGCGAAGCAGAGTAGGCCGCGGGTGGTGACGCGGGCGGTGAGTTCTCGTGGCTCTACCCGCTGCCTCCCAGTGATGAATCGAAGAAGAAGAAGAAAGCAGTGGTGAGCTTTGCCTATCTTTGTTGTTCTTTTAGGTGTTAATTAGTTTGTTGTTTAGTAGAGTTATTAGTTGTGTTGTTAGTCTAGTGGTAAGAAGAGTGGTTTGTTTTGGGAAAAGTTAGGGTTTGATTCTTGGTAGATTAAGTAATTACTTTTAGTTACTAGTTTAATTCAAGCTTGGTTATTAGCTTATCTACTAGTATATTAGTGTTGAGATTAAATTAACAATAGGATGCCTAGCCTAGAGGGTTGAGCTTGTGGGTAACTTAAATTGGGATAAGGGTTCAAATCCCTTTATGAGTGTTAAATTTACTAATTAGTTTTAATTAGTACTCTTGTTAATTAATGAAGATCCGGTTTAATCCACAGGTTCCCGGTAGCTTGGCTTTATGATTTGAGCCTATGTTGGCATTGTTTTTGGATGTTAAGCGAATGAGGTAACCCATGCTTTAAAAAATCTATTTTCTTACCTATATGATGATTTCTTGACTTCTACATATGATTTTTGCTATGAAATGTGAGTTTTGATGCATTGTCTTGTGAGAATGCATATCTAGAGCTTGTTATTAGGGTTCTTGTATGCCATTGCTTGGCTATTTCTTTGACTCAAGTCATATTGTTGTATTTGGTGAGATTTTGGGTGTTTTGGACTTGAATTTGGACTTGGTGTTGAAAATCACAGAAGGGATTATTTTGGTACAGGGTTGTACCCGCGGGCGGAACGGCGGGCAGTGGCCTACCCGCCGCCCCACCCGCGGGGTACGTGTGGTTGTGGCTATGGTTCCCATGGGCGGAACCACGGGTGGAGGTCCACCCATGGCCCCACCCGCGGGGTACACCTTGTTGGTTGTTTGGAGATTTGTTCCCCGTGATTCTTTTGACTTGGTAATTGATGTTTTGACTTCCAGATGTTGTTTTGTTGGGCTATTTGAGTGTCCTCTTGATGTTTCGTAGGTCTAGAACTGTATGTTGTGATTCCATGTAGGATTTGGTGTCTTGAATCGTGCTAAGTGTTCAACTTTGTGATTCGTTGAACCATGATGAGTCTTGTATGTTCTTCAGAACTATGTTTGGTTTACCCGTTTGATAAGCATGCTAGTTTGATGTTGAAATGCTAGTGTGTGTGGTTTGTTCTTCCCTATTTGTGGATGACAACTTGTGTTGATCATCGTCGGAGTCGGATTGTAGTCCTTACTTGATTGAGTATGGTTTCATATCTTTGTTGTGATCCATTGATTGATTCCCGTGATGAAAGCGTGTGTATTGCCTGTACTTGTAATGCACGGTTAATGGTATGGGACATTAATCACCAAGGTACAGATGTGGTCCTCGTGGTGGCCGTGAAATGATATTGGAGTTATAAATTGGGCTTCAGGCTCATGATCTGGGCTTCAGGCTCATGTGATTAGTGGTTGTGTGATTGAAATGATCGGTACCCTCGTGTACTGCGAAATCGGTGGTTGTTGAATTGGTGATTGTAGGTGGGGGAACGACGGTTCCTGGAGGCATAAGGTTGGACTCAGAAGTACAGGGATTCTCGGAGGTAATGGTTGGATCTGTAATTAGGCCGGGGGTAGGCATAAGGTTGGAACTTGTGACATGAAGTGTCACTGTGGCATGTAGTGTCAATGTGTGGATGTCTATCCTTTTCTGTTGAGCATGTCGAGTGGTGTTCTACTTTGTGATCAGTAGAATACACCTGGAGTTATACTTGTTGTTGTCGTTGTCTTTGCCTGATGTTTTCTGCTTTGTGATCAGTAGATTACATCTTGAGCGGTGTTGAGTTGTTCTGTTGTTGTTCTTGTCTTGATGTTGTTTTGGGATGTTGATTCCCTTGTTCTTTTGAGAGTGAAATAGAGTATTTGCAGTTGATTTCTCTCTTTACGGTTTGAACTGATATATACTGTATTCCGTTTCAAAAATGATTTTGTATTATACTATCTATATATGCTATTGAACGCGTATTGATGGGTTACCAGCAATATTCGCTGACCTGGCGTCATTCCCTTTCTTTATGTGCTTTACAGGTCCTGAGTAGACATAGCGAGAGCGTTAGCCGTTGGTAGTTTAGCTCCCTTGAACAATGTAGTTAGTGTTTTGGCCTGTGTGCCATAGTTGTTGAACAAAATAGTTGGATGGTTTTAGACTTGCCTGTGCATTCACGTTGAGGTGAATGTGGCATAACACTCCTTGATTTTCCATGTTTTGATGTTAGACTTCCGCTGTGATTACGTTTTATGATATATGTTAGTCATCATACCTTAACTATTTAAGTTTTAAAATGGCATGAAAATCGGGGGTGTTACAAGAGACAACAAAGGCATTCAAGAGAATCAATTTGTAAGTAGTCAACAAGCACACAATTCATCCTCCAACCTTATAACAAGTTCCAACCTTGTAGCTCCCCTCCGTCCTTATATCAGTTCCAACCTATACCTCCATGCCGCCCTTATATCCCCACCCCTTATGCCTCCGGGCAACTACATGCCCCGACCGACAAACCACCTTTCAACCACCAACATATCAAGATGGTGTCGCAGTGCCATTCAATGATCCGCACCTCTAGTGCCAATATCAAGGGGTTAGCGCATATAGCTCTAACATGACACCGCAGCACTTATAACCTCACCCATGCTCAACGACAAGCAAGTCTAAGGTGGGTGTGTGCCTTTAGCACAGTCACTGCTATGGCCTGTACCTTTAGTACAATGACCGGGCACAAGTGGTGCCAACCGCAAATAGTTTATTTTCCACCAATCACAATCTCAACATCATAATATTCAACATCTGACACATTGGCCATTGCGCAATGGCCACGATACTCATCATCATCCAATCAATTAACACATAATCACATAACAAGCAAGACACAACAACAACGACACGTATCACACATAAAATCCTAGAACGATGCTTAAAACACCAAACGAGACTCATACACGACAAACGGGGTACCACGGTACACGGGGAAACATCAAACGGGGAAAAACGCCATGAACCACGCCGGGTTTCCAGCGGGTAGGTGGCGGGTGGAGGGCCACCCGCCGGCGGCCGGGTACTATTCCAGCGGGTGGTCGGCGGGCAGATCACCGCCCGCCGGCTGCCCGCTGGAATAGTGAACGCGGGCAGCGGGTAGGTGGCGGGTGGTCAGTCCCCCAACCTACCCCCCACTGATACTCAGGCACTTTTGGTTCCGGGATCACTCGTGGAACCCGAAACCATGTCGAAACACATTCAAACACATAACGACAACACCACGTATTCAATTAACGGAATTAAACCAAGTAGCACACCAAATACATCCTAACATGATTTCTAAACATGCCAAGACTCAACATAAACCATATAACGATCCAGGGACATCCGGATTCACAAGAACATCAAGAAATCTATATGCAAAGTCCTAAACACAAGTCCTAGGCTAGACTCAACACCCGATCATGCGAAATCCCACCCAAATATACCAAGAACATCATAATACGAAATCCACATTATAACCCTAGGGCTCTAGACATAATTAAAATACAAGATCATTCATATAATTTATCATAGTATCAAGAACGTCAAGATTATAACATAAGCATCAAGATTAACACATAAACACCAAGATTATCACATAAACACAATATAAACCCTAGGTAAAGCTCTATCAAGACTCAAGCACAGAATCATATATCAAAGGAGCCAATGAATAAGATATAGCAAGAAAATAGGTTTTGTCGAGACATGAGTTGCCTCTTAGCCTTAATTAATCCTCCATTGGCTATTAAGGTTCTTCTCTAAGATTTCCATCCGATTGATCTCCCTAGGCTTGGTGGTGGGGAATCTCCTTGGAATAATTTCGTGTAATATAACTATGGGTGGTAAGGGTTCTAATTGCATTCTAATCCCCTATTTATAGAGTTAGGAATCCTAATCAGAGTCTGAATAGTAAAGACCTACATTTTATTCCTAACAGGTATATAGGTTTTTATTTTTATTTTTTTTTATTTTTATTTTTTTTTTTGAAAAAAGGTTCATCTTATTTATAAACAAAACGGGAACCGAACAGAGTCTTGCCAAGGCCCAAAAGTGACCAAGGCACAAGAAAAGAAAGGACAAGGCCCAAAAGTGACCAAGTCAACAAATAAAACAAGAAGGACAAGGCCCAAAAGTGGCCAAGTCTACAAATAAAGCAAGAAGGCCTAAAGGCAAACAAGTAAAGGAGAAACTCTAAACTACAAAGTGGGCCCAACACCCATACTGCAAACAACCTGGTACTGAGTGAAAGCTAGACAATTCCCGGGCGTCATGCCCTACACTCAGGGTGGGAACGATGCTCCAACAAACTATGACGAACCAATTCCACCCTCAAGCGTCAGGTCGGTCCCCCGCGGTACAGAGCTCTGCATTTTTATCCGAGGGGACCTATATGACCATCCACAGAAGCAATGAAATCAGCCGCCAAACCCAAACCACCCTCCTGCGTTGGACAGATCCCTGCCGGTACAGATCTCTGCATTTTTATCCGAAGGGACCGTGAATAGTCCGCCACATGAGCAATGGTACTCACCTCCACCCACCCTTGGAACCCAGGCCACCCCCGTACGTACAGAGCTCTGCATTTTTATCGCAGAGGGCTTCAACGACCCAAAGTCCCAAGCAATGACTCCCTAACCACTGGTGCCAACATATATACCACCCTCAAGCGTCAGGCCAGCTCCCACGGTACAACATACTGTATTTGACCCGAGGAGCCTATATAGCCATCCACAAAAGCAATAGCATATATGCTAAGTACCAGAACCCACCTCACACCCTCCCAACCCTTAATATAAACAGCCAGCCTTAATTCACCAAACACCATAAACGCAGATATATATATACAAACAAGACTAAAGGAGCACTCCCACCTCAGAGTGTACGCTATGCATGGAACTAACGAATACATCCGGCAAACACACAGCAACACGCAGAAACAGGATAAGCATTGAGAACACAAAGCAGAAAGAGAA